GTGTGTGCGCGCACGCCTCCCCCAGGAGGAACCCAGAGGCACTATGAAATTGCAGTGAACTCTACATGTCCTAGGTGTTAATATTTTAAAACAGTTAGACTTACTACTAAAACTTAGGCTTTCACCTTCACTAGGGATCAGGGGCTCTGGAGGGCTGCGTGTGTTCCTCGAACAATGCGGCTCAGGGAGCAGTACAGAAGCAGGCAGCAGAACTGGGGTGCTTGCTGTCCCTGCACCAGCCTGTGAGTGGGGGGCAGGATGAAGGACAGATCGAAAAGACTGGGTACCCCTGTGTGTGTGCATTTGTGTCCCTGTACCAGCTTCTGAGTGGGGGGCCAGAAGAACAAATCAAGAAGACAGAGAGAGAGAGTCAGGATGAAGGACAGATCAAGAAGACTGGGTACCGTGTGTGTGTGTGTGTGTGTGTGTCTGTGTGTGTGCGCGTGTGTGTCCGCGCTCATGTGCTGTGGAAAGATGCGAGGCACCAGGAGCAGGTCCGGCCCGGCCGGCAGCACAGGAAAGGGCGAGTCCCGCCGGCCCCGGCCCCACCAGCCCGGCGGAGGGTTGCGCCGCCTCTCCGACTCACCTGTCGTCGTTCTGCCAGCCTTGATCTCCCAGCAGCAGATCCCGGAACCGGTACCTGGGAGGCAGAGGAGGCACCTCGCTCTCCAGATCCACCATCCTGCCCAGCTGCGGGGTTGGCGGGGGGGATGCAGGAGAAAGCCCACTGTCCTTTTCTCCCTCCCCCGCCCCGCTGGGGGATCCGCAGGCAGAAAGAGCAAAGTGCTGGCACAGCCACGGGCAGAGGCGCAGGGGCAGGGATGCTCCGCGGCGGCCGAGAGGAGCGATCGCTTCAGCCCCCCGCGTCCCCGGCGATGGCGGGAGCCCCTGGGGGCGCTGAGCCTGGCGGGCACCGCTCCGCCCGCAGAGGGGGCGAGGACCGCGCCGCAGGCACCCGCCGCCCGCCGGGCTTGACAACAAAGAGCCGCCCGCCGCACACCGCCATGCAAATGTGATTTGGAGCTGCCGCTGAGGGGCCAGCCAATGGGATA